ATCCATTCAAATCTCAACTCTTCTTGTTTCACAAAGTAGACATGTTGATCTTGTTGTAGGTTCATTTTTAGGTCAAAATTATGTTCATTGCTTGTTGATTGATGCATTTCTTTGTAGGCTTTCCATTTGTGTTCTAAGTGTTGAATGTGTGTAAGACTTTGGTCTTTCTCCTTGCCTCTTCTTGCATCTCTTTGGTGTGTTTATGATGTTTACTTTTATCATTCTCTCTTCTCATCTTCTCTTCTGTCCTATGAATTTGGAATGTCACTTAAGGTAGCTTGGTCCCTCCTTAGGAGGAATTTGAAGCTTACCTAAAGTAATGAATCCACGAGGACTTTTCCTAGTGACTTTGTTTATTTGCTTTTGATGCATCTCCTTCTTTTTTTTCTCTTTTCATCCTCATATGCATGCTTGGTTGAGATGAGCTTGTGGTGGCTACTACCCCACACATATTTTCCTCCCATTTTGATTCTACTTGTGCATTCAATGTGTGCATTCTTTCATTTGCATGTTTCCTTTGTTCTTTCTTATTCTTATTTTGTCTTCCTTCCCCTAGGATTTCTAATCTCTCTTGTTTAAGAGAGGTTACGATAGACATTAGGATTCTAACCATGAATGATAACATTAGGTAGATGTTTCACTTTTGTAATCCCAACTTTAGGTGTACTTTGCATGACAACTTCTAGGGTTTAGTCTAGTCCCTCTTTAGTTTGTCCCTTTCTCTTCTCATCTTCAAACAACTTCAATCCACTTAATAAAGATAATGGATGTTGTGCCATGAGCCTTATACTTGGGAAATGGTGATTGAGTGGCTACCTCTCAATTGCCTAGGGTGTTTAGTATACGTCCTTAGGACGATATGCGACGCATTCGATCCTAGGTTTAGACTTTAGTACAACGTACATTATGAACACTCAAATTCAAAACACTTCTTCTTTAAAAAACACAAAAAACACTTCAAACCTTTTTCATCCTTCGGGATCTTAATCAGGAAAACCTTTTCATAAGTAAGAGTGTTGTTAACTTTCAGTCCTATCGCAAACGGTAACGCCTAAGTCTCTAATGGTCGAGCTACATACACCAAACTGCTAGAACTGTTTGTTAACCCTACTCGGGTAAAACTTTTGAACAACCTGTGTTCTCTTAAGCCCGAACTACATTTGCTCTGATCTTTCATGTCAGATGAAAGTACGTAGACACAAGACACGATGTCTTGGCGAGCAACCTTCCCCCCTTCTTTAGTCGTAGTTAGTCGAACTACGTTGACTCTGACTTTCCCATTGCACGAGGGAGTATGTAGGCACAGAGCGGCGATGCTCTGCCGAGTCAGTCCCTTTTCTTTTTTCTTGTGTCCATAAGCCTTTAGCGTAGATATTTTACACACCCTTTTAGATAGATAACACATGCGTGGATCTTGTCGAGTACGACGGACCTGAGGGTTGCTAATATCTTCCCCTTGCGTAACCGACTCCCGAACCTAGGACTTGGTTGCGACGAGCTCGTCTTTTCCCGTTATCGTCAGGTTTTTTTCAATCGTTTCCTTTCCCCTCTTTGGGATAAATAACGATAGGTGGCGACTCTGTTAGTCATTGCCAGCCTCTTTTTTCGCAGTAGCGACAATTGGGAATGGGAAAATTGTCTTGTTGCATGGAAATGTCAGTTTTCTAGAGATGATCAGAGTAAACCCACAATCATGCTTGAAGCTGTTGCATCTCAAGACTTGTGGATTTGGCATATATTTTTTGGCATTGCGGGTTCTAACAACGACATTAATGTGTTAAGCACATCTGATGTGTTTAACGATGTTTTGAAGGGACATGCACTTGATGTTCATTATACAAGGAATGAAACCACATATCATATGGGGTACTACCTAGCAAATGACATTTATCCTGAGTGAGCAACATTTGTTAAAACCATCTGTAACACCCGAGGGCAAAGAGGACGGAGAGTGGTTACATGTAACACCCGATTTCGAGGTAGTAGTTATCGGTGCATGATGCATGACAATGAGAAACTCCTAGTAGCTTCTAGGGAAAACCTGAATTTACATCGGAATGAGAAAAATCTTGAGGCTGTGCAGGTATGAGACTGCATGGTTGAAGAAAGTCTTATAAGGATTAATTGCTACTACCTATACCAATAAGATGCATCTTCTTTTCGGTAGCTCGTTCCATAAGAACTCCATAGTTAAGCGTGCTTGACATGGAGCAATTTAGAGATGGGTGACCTTCTGGGAAGTTTCCCGGAAAGCGTGTGAGTGAGGATAAAACATGTTGAAAAGACACTGTGTTGGTTTGTGGGGTGAGTCAGTAATCCTTAAAGCCGTTTGGGGAGTTACAAATGGTATCAGAGACAGACCTCTCCCAGTACGATGTGGTTCAGGGACGAACCAAGCGGAAGCTGGTGGGCATGTAACACTTGAGGTCGAAGAGGACGGAGAGTGGTTACATGTAACACCCGAGGGCGAGGGATTGGTTGTCGGTGCACGAGGCATGACAATGAGACACTGGTTGTCAATGAACGAGGCATGACAATAAGACACTCCTAGCAACTTCTAGTGAAAAACCGAATTCACATCGGAATGAAAGGGATCTTGAGGTTGTGCAGGTATGAGACATCATGGTTGAAGGAAAAACATGTAACACTTGAGGTCGAAGAGGACGGAGAGTGGTTACATGTAACACCCGAGGGCGAGGGATTGGTTGTCGGTGCACGAGGCATGACAATGAGACACTGGTTGTCAATGAACGAGGCATGACAATAAGACACTCCTAGCAACTTCTAGTGAAAAACCGAATTCACATCGGAATGAGAGGGATCTTGAGGTTGTGCAGGTATGAGACATCATGGTTGAAGGAAAAATTATAAGGGTTAATTGGTACTACATATACCAACAAGATGCATCTTTTTTCGGTAGCTGGTTCCATAAGAACTTCACAGTTAAGCGTGCTTGATTTGGAGAAATTTTGGGATGGGTGACCTTCTGGGAAGTTTCTCAGAAAGTGTGTGAGTGGGGACAAAGCATGCTGAAAAGATCCGTGTTGGTTTGTGGGGTCAGTCGCTAATCCTTAAAGCAGTCTATGGTAGTTTAGGGTGTTACAACATTCCTATATTACAAGGAGAGAATATAAAGTTGTTTTCCCTACGAAATGATGTTAAACGAGCATTTGGAGTGCTTTGAGCCCGATTCGCAATTATATGTGATTTAGCTCGGAAATGACAAATGAATACAAGGAAAAATAACTTTCGCAATTATAAGGGTTAATTGGTACTACATATACCAACAAGATGCATCTTTTTTTCGGTAGCCCATTCCATAAGAACTTCACAGTTAAACGTGTTTGACTTTGAGAAATTTTGGGATGGGTGACCTTCTAAAAAGTTTCTCGGAAAGTGTGTGAGTGAGGACAAAACATGCTGAAAAGATCCATGTTGGTTTGTGAGGTCAGTCGGTAATCCTTAAAACAGTCTATGGTAGTTTGGGGTGTTACAACATCCTTATGTCACAAGGAGAGAATATAAAGTTATTTTCCTTACAAAATGATGTTAAACGAGCATTTGGAGTGCTTTGAGCCCGATTCACAATTATATGTGATCTAGCTCAGAAATGACAAATGAGTACAAGGAAGCACATAATGTTTAGCATGCCTTATATTGCATAACATGATTGTCAAAGATGAGCAAGACACATATATTGATAATTTTGATTACAACCATATTGATAATAATTTGTCCACAGCTAAAGTATCACTACCGATCCTGATTCTAGTTTGACTATATTGTTTTAAAGGATATCACATATTCTTCAATTCAATATGCATGGTGAAGCATATTTGGGAGAGGTTTAATTATGAGAATAATAAAAGTTAATCTTTGTCTTATTTTTATATTTTAATTAAAATGTAATTTTATATATTTATATTATATACTTTTGTATCATTTAAATTTTATAATACTAAAAATTAATTAAAAGAATATTTGTGAAACTTTAATAATTAATATTTTTATACATTTTAATTAAAATATTTAAATTAGTAATAAATTAAAATTAAAATTAATTACAAATAAATAAATATAAATATATGAATTAAGTTTAAATTATTTATAAACAATCACCGTTAAAATAAAAATAAATTAGATCAACTTAAAACTTTTTAAAATCGTACATGGCAATTTGGTCCCATAAAAAAATAAAACTTAATTGACCCAATATAGTTTCTTATAATTCATCTTCATGTTTTAAAAAACATATAAATAATATATTATTTAAAATTTATTTATCCCTATTTATTAAGCCACATTTTCGAACTTACGACTTATATCTTATAAATTCACACGACGATTTACTAATTTTTTTTCACTCTATGCATAAAATCTATTTTATAACTTTTAAAAATCAATCTCCTCAAACCAAACCAAACAAACTCTAGATTATATTACAAATAAAAGAAAAAAAAAAAAAGGACATTTAAAGGATCATGCTAAGATTCTAACTAATTACTCCTACATAAAAGATTGTATCTAGAGTATACATAAGCTAATGTTTGACTTATTTTATACATAAGCTAATGTTTGACTTATTTAAGACATAATCTTAAACAAAAATAAGAGGAAATAGATCCTAATCCAATGTACTATCTCACTCTCACACACCACTTTACTTTCTCCCATAATAATTTATTCACCCACCACACAATTTCCATTATATTTTTTAAATATTTTTCCTTTTTTTTAGTATATCTATTTTTTCATATCAACAAGAAAAAAATAAAACAAACTTTTCACCAACAACTTACAAAAAAACACATCAAGCTTCCTTCCTTAAACTCTGTCTTTCTTTCTCTCTCTAACCTCTTCTTCACTCACTTTACTCTCTCACTCTTCTTCATCTCCATTCAAACCAACCAAAACCTCCATTTTTTTCCTCAATTTCCTCACCAAATCCAATGCCACCCATTTCCTAAAACCCAAAACCCAACGCATAATAAAACAACACCATGTCATTTTACGACGAATCTTTCTTCAACACACAACTCTCCAAACGAACCTCAATCTTCGGTCTCCACCTCTGGGTCATCATCGGAATCCTCGTCGGTTCCTTCATCGTCATTACTCTCTTCCTCATCTCCCTCTGTCTCACCTCACGCCGCCGCAAAAACCACCACCACCACCAATCTACCACCAAGCTCAACACGCTCACTCCTATCGTCTCCAAGGAAATTCAAGAGATCAAACGCACACCCCCGAAACCCGAGATCCAAGCCATTGACCATGTGAAACTCGAAATTCACCGCCATGTGTCAACCAGTGGAGAGAGCAGAGGAACTTCTAGTAGTGTCTGTGAAACGACGTCGTCGCGTGGAAGTATGGGGCCGGAAGTTTCGCATCTTGGATGGGGGAGATGGTTTACGCTTAGAGAACTTGAAGCTGCTACTAATGGTTTGTGTGAAGAGAATGTTATTGGTGAAGGTGGTTATGGAATTGTTTACAAAGGTGTTCTTCCTGACGGTACCAGAATCGCTGTTAAGAATCTTCTGAATAACAAGTATGTTACTGTAACTCCTGTTAAGAATCTTTGAAGAAATATATGAAAAAATTGAGTTTTTCTGTGATCTATTGTTACATTCTGATCTTGGGTTTTGAAATGTCATATTCATACATTGTTTTGATTTTTCAGAGGCCAAGCTGAGAGAGAGTTTAAAGTCGAGGTAGAAATAATCGGGCGCGTGCGGCACAAGAATCTTGTTAGGTTGCTTGGATACTGTGTTGAGGGAGCACACAGGTAGTTTTTTTTCTCATTAGAAATGGAATTGTTTGATAGTTTGAAGAGATTTATGATTTGAATTGTGGATTCTTGTTATAGGATGCTTGTGTATGAGTATGTTGATAATGGCAATCTAGAGGAATGGCTGCACGGGGATGTTGGACCTGTGAGTCCTATGACTTGGGATATCCGGATGAACATTTTATTGGGCACAGCAAAAGGGTACTGTGTTCATGATCTAATCTGCATAATTTTGTTAATTTGTAACTTTCAGTATACGGGCGCTTTACTTGTTAAAGAAATTGATGTTTGAAATGTTTGGACCGAAGTGATTTTTTTGTGTGTATCTGTTTTTTAGATTGGCTTATCTTCATGAGGGTCTTGAACCGAAAGTTGTTCACCGAGATGTGAAGTCAAGCAACATACTCATAGATCGCCAATGGAATGCCAAGGTTTCTGATTTCGGTCTTGCTAAGCTTCTGGATTCTGACCACAGTTTTGTCACGACTCGAGTCATGGGGACTTTTGGGTTAGTATGATTTAACAAAGCATTCTCCTATCTTTGCTCTCAGATAGATTTGAGGTTTATTGACGGTGATTATCTTTCTTCAGTTATGTTGCGCCCGAGTACGCTTGCACTGGATTGCTCAATGAGAGGAGTGACGTGTATAGCTTTGGGATACTCATCATGGAAATAATCAGCGGGAGAAATCCCGTTGATTATAGCAGACCAAAAGGAGAGGTTAGAGACTATTACCAACAACACAAAACAGTTTTGATATTGTTCATTCTACACTCCCCAATGACAATGATTTTCTTTCCCTATTCCTCTTACCGTGGTAGTTTGAATTTTTGCAGGTTAATTTAATTGAATGGTTAAAAGATATGGTTGGCAGTCGAAGATCCGAGGAAGTCGTTGATCCTAAGCTTTCTGAGAAGCCGTCTTTAAAGGCTCTTAAACGCGCTTTGTTGATTGCTCTTCGATGTGTTGATCCTGATTCCTCAAAGAGGCCCAAAATGGGACATGTGATCCACATGCTTGAAGCTGACGATGTCTTATTTCGCGAGGTATAAAGTGTTTAGTACTTTAGCAGCAATATCGTATAACAATAAATTACAGTATCCAAAATCCGAAATATACCCGTCACGTGATTCTTTCTCGTTCTTGTCAGCAGGATCGAAGGAACGCCGGAGAATCATCTCATTCCCATCGTAATTATCAACGAAATCACAATGGTTCGAGTGTAGATAAAAATCGGATAGGAGGTGAGATCACTGATCAAAGTGAAGATGATAGTAGTACAAGTCACCATGAGCCTACTAGGTGGAGAAGATGATAGAATAGTCTTATACTTGAGAGAGATAGCAAAGTGTATTTTCATTTGTTCTTGAAAATAGTTTCCAAATATTTATTTATACCTTAATGAGGTAACAAAACATTCATTTTTTCCTCCTCATTTGTAATGTTGTACAATACTCTATATGGTTCATTATAATAAAAAAAAACAATTATTTCTCTATGTTTACAAGTCAAAAACTAGGATAAGCATTATAATGATCAATTCAATTTTCTATCCTATAAATTGTTTTTGGCAATGCATCTTGGTCCCATAAGAATTTGGATTGAAGTACTTGGCAGTTTAGGAGGGTAATTGGTTGGTGGCCCTTTATATGGTACTCCAGCTATCTTGATTGGAACAATTTCATTGTATTATCATTATTATTGCCAACTTTATTGTTTGGATTGTTTGTTTGAAATGGACCAGCTTGCCGGCTAATCAAGATCAACTTTATCAACAGTTTCTTGTCAATATACTTGGATTTCCCAAATGAAAAAGCTAGTAGTGCACCAATGAATGCTGGTCTGGTGGGTAAGGGTAGGGTAAGGATTCAAGTGGTGCACCAATGGATGCTGGTCTAAAGGGTAAGGGGAAGAATGTGAGTCATTCTTTAATGATACTACTACTCCCTCATGTCACTATCATAAATGGCAAGGATAGAATTTTTTTACTGCATTACCCTAGTCTGAAATACTATACACTATAATACTCTAGTTTGAAAAATATTGATCAGAATACTTCATTTTTACTACATGTTCGTCCACTCAAGTGGCGAGCACATGTTGCACTTGTTTTTTTCTTTTCATATTTATGTTATGTTTAATTAATTAAATTTTTTTTAAATATTAAAAAATTATTATATTAATTAATTATAATATTAATGTTAAATAATTATTATATATCATGTTTAATTATGATATTTAATTGGTATTATAAATAACTATTATAACAATATTATATATCATGTTATTATATTAATGTTATTATATAGAATAAAAAAAAATTGTGAATGATATAATAATTTTTTTTTCTGTCATGTATTTTAAAGAATGATTGGTGTTCGTTCAAGGAGTTGTATAGTTTTAAAGACTCTCGGTCATTGAATGACCGAGTTCAAACATAATTTTTTTATAAATAGACGTATTACGCATCAGCACAAATCATTCGTGTCTAGTGTTCCGTGTTTTAAAAATGTATGTCCGAGCTCTTGTTTTTTATGGACAAGAAAAAAATTAGTGTTTACCTAGATCCGCAGTGGAATTTCAGAACCGTGGTTGCAGCAATTAACACGGAGTTTCGACAGTTGGGTGGTCGTCGCATGACGGTGAAAAAAATGGAGTATCGTTGTCCGTATATAACGCTGACTGATGCCAGCCCAGAGGGTACGTACATGCATTACTTGGATCATATAGAAAATGATGAAGATGTCCAATGTATGTTTTCAGCACATAGTGGCGAAGTTAACAGAGGAGTCGAAGATCCACTTGTGTTGGTTGTTGTTGTTGATTAGCATGTATGTTAACTTCTTGAGTTTTATTTTTAAGTTTATGGTTGTAATATGCTAATATTGCTGTAATCTAAAAGTTGTCTTGAATTACAAATAAATGTTGGATCACATAGAAATCAAGTGCAAGCAAAATAAATAAAATTATCTAGAAGGTCGGTTTGACGGGCCGACAACATTTGGACATTTTCTACGCATATGGCCTATTTCTCTGCAAATCCCACACCTTCTCTTTTCTTTTTCAACGTCGTCCATTTCAGTTCTAATCCTAGTACTAGTTGGACGTCCCTTTTTATTTCTTCTCATGGAATCGTCGTGGCATAGAGTAAAACCTTCATATTTTGGCCAGTTCTCCTCGTGCGGTAGGCCCAGGAAGCTTTTCTTGTAGACTTTGAATACGTTAAGAACTGTGAAGACCTCTGGAATGTGAATTGTGTAGTCCTTTCGTATCCTAGAACATGTTGCGATCACGTGGGAGCAAGGCAAGTGAAATGCTTGAAATTTTCCACAGTCACACCAACGATTCCTTAGGTCAACGCTGAAAGTACCCGCTGGACGACCATCGTTTTGATTAATTTTTTCCTGCACCATGAAACAGAATCTTTCGCGATCAAATTGCATGACATTATGTGTGTTAGCCTTGGCTACCTCATCAGCCATTCCCTTGTTGCAACCATCTGTGCAAAATTTCCCTGTAGCTAGCATTTTGGTTCATTTGTGTCCTTATTTACTAAAGAGTGAACCCATTCGATAATATGTAGACTGGACCAAAGCAGTGATTGGAAGTTTTCTGGTTGCCTTTAGTACAGAGTTCATGGCCTCTGCCAAGTTAGATGTCATATGTCCCCAACGTTGCCCTCCGTCAAATGCTCTAGCCCACTTCTCCCTAGGTATGTTGTCTATCCAATTTGAAGCCTCAATGTCTGTTCTTCTGATTTCTCTGTGATAGTAGTTAAATGTAGCCTCCGTCAATGCGTAACCTATAATAGAAATTGTATGAAAAACATAGTAAAAGTATGGTATAATAGTTGAGATAACTGAAATGTATTTTATTACCCATGTTAATATTTTTTGCGTAGTTCCTTGTCCTTAATCTAGCGCATGAAGTTCTGCGCAATGTGTCTAATGCAGTAGACATGTGAAGATGGTGGATGTTGCCATCCATTTTCGGGATTGTTATATGCACTCTTTATTGATTCATGTCTATCAGAGATTAGGCACAAATTAGGTTGTGGTGTCACGTGTAACCTCAGGTTCCTTAGGAAAAAGCTCCATGCTTCCTTTTTTTCACCTTCGACCAATACGAATGCTATTGGGAAAATGTTTGCGTTTCCATCCTGTGTCACCGCCATTAATAGAGTTCCTATGTACTTGTCATACAACCAAGTTTCGTCTACTTGCACAATGGGCTTACAGTAGGCGAAACCACATATACATAAACGAAATGTCCAAAACAGACGATGGAAGATTCGTTTTCTAGAGAGTTGAAAGCCATCATTTGAGATTGCAGGTAGGGTTTGCAAATCTATAATGGTTCCTGGAAGGTAGGTTTTCATTACCAGTATCCACAGTGGCAGGTGATTGTAAGATGTTTCCCAATTTCCATAGAGCGAATCTATGGTCTTACACTTAACGATCCATGCTTTCCTGTAAGATATTATGTACCTGTTTTTTTCAAGAATATGGGCAATGATCACCTTCACATTAAGTGAAGTGTCTCGGTTGACAAGTTCTCTGATGTTATGGCTAACCATTTTTGAACTGAGCTTCCTATAGTCTTGTGCCATAGACGTGGTAGTGCATGTGTGAGGCCCAGACAACTTGCCAATCGCCCCTTTTGAGTTCCTTTTTCTCAAGGAAGCTCTGTGTAATACCCCAAATTTTACCCTTATATTTAGTCGGTCATTTCGCGTATCATCTCATCTGTGCATTTGCTAACCACTAACAAGTTATGGAGGTGTTTTGTTTTGCAGATTTGGTTCCAGGGGTATTTTAGTCATTTTACGCAAATACTGCTAATTCCTTGAAGACGGGCTGTTATTAAGTTCTGAGGCGTTTGATACACTATTTTTGAGGCATTTACCTATCACCAGGTCTGATTATATCAAGGTGCCAATTCGACGTGGTCGGTATTAAAGTTTGTCGAGCACAACTGGATTTAAGACTTATTTTATTGCTCGTGGCTTATTTCCGGCACACCTCCGTTAATGAGGCACAGTTTTACTGGGGTATTATTGGATTGTTGCTCACAGTCTTTGGTCGGTGGAATGCAATTACGGGCAAGGTTATCATTGATATTAAATCGGTGTTGATTACAGCGTACATCCGTGTTTGGGTTATAAAATGATTGGTTAGAATTTAAAGTTGGAATGCGATTTGAATTTAATCAAGTGCTGAGATTAATACTACAAATGAACGAACAAGAATGTCGTTCGGGAAATGCTTATAGTTTATGACTATGTTAATGAGTTTAAACATTTGTGGATTTATTCACAAATATTTATAATTTACAACTAGAAATAAAGTAAGCAGGTCACGAATATAAAGGAAAGTCTGATATTTTATTTCATAAAAAGATCATCATACAAGAAGGAGGAGATTGTTTCACATTTTCGAAATGCTGTTACAAGGAATTACATTAATTCTAAAAGTTCTAGGTCCTAAGTCCTAAGAATTTCTAAATGTCCTTCATGATGTCCCTTGAGCTTCTCCGCAAAGTCTCCGATTCACCTGCACATCAAAAGAATACAACACAGAATAGAAAAATGTTAGAGTTTGTTTTCGACACTCTCAGAACAGTGTCATCATCGAGTGCCGGGAGTGGCACAACCGAAGCTGCGTCCTACCCCCGTTACCGATCCGCGCCGTTGGCGTCAGATCAGGTAACACCTGTTCTTATCGTTACGGGACATCCGAGAGATAGAAGTAATAAAAGAAGCGGGACTGATTCGTTTTGCCGCGATTGGATTTCCAAACTGATACGAGAATAAGGCAACATAGGCAAGTTTGGACTCAGACCCAGATGCCGGCAGGTCTGAGTCGCTTTGGTTTCGAAATTTCCAACACCTGAAAAGCCACAAACATCATCAGTACAACAGAACTCAAAGCATAACAAGCTGCATAAACAAAACTAGGCAAAAGGGAGCTCGCGCCATACAAATGTGAAGAGGCATCAAACTGCATCAATTCTGAACAAAACAGAAAATACAAACCATCAAACAATGCATCAAAAGCCAAGTTCGTGCGCAAGAGCAGGAAAAGAACAAAGCAACAAATCTGTCACATAAAGTGTAGTTCCTGTTGACAGAAAAGTATTCAACAGGATCCAAAAAAGCACAACAGCATCAAACATGGTTTAGCAGCAAGGCTATCACGAAGTAATCACGTCAGTTCAGAATGCAAGCAGCACTAAATCATGGCATGAATTGTACCAGAACGGACGAGGGCTCAGCAAGCATCATTGCCCCAACAAACGAGTCACGAAAATCAGTTC